GAGAGAGAGAGAGAGGGGGGTGGGTGGGACCAGAGAGTGACCAAAGAAGAAAAAGAGCGAAGGGGGAAAAGAGAGAGAATGTGTATGCCAGCAGTAGACTGTATGGGTAGAGACCGAAGGAAAGAGTTCAACAAAGAGCGTGGGAAAAAGAGAGAGAAAGTTTGTGTATTCGCGTGTGTTTGTGAGCCTGACCGCACGTGCGTACTCAAGCTCATGCCTGTAATGACTCCACAGTTAAGACAATTGACAAACGAATAGCGATAGATGCTTCGTCTGTCATCTTAAGAACAAATTCTCTTTCCCTGAACTCTTTTCCGAGTAGAACTCGGCTCGAATGGCTGAAAACAAAAACATCCAAAGCGATTCCTGAAGCCAAATGACCCGGATGTACCCAGGCAGAACGGTAATGAAGTGCTTCTACAGACTTCTCGATTTTCACGGGTAGTGCTTTGACCTCAACGTGGGTACCGGCCGGCACTGTCATTAGTAAACAGTGAACCTGAACTTCGTTGAGATTGTACCTGGCAGCTGGCTGCTCGTTTCTAAATCGAATCTTAATAATATGTATTAGATCTACTTGTGCTCATGTGTTTTACGCTCCTATCAATACAGGGCCTTATTAAGATGATTTAGGATGCGAACTGCATCAACCCTGTCTGTGAGGGCCAGCCCGCTTTATGTGGGAAACAGCATCACAGGAGACAAACGTTGTTACTCTAAAAAAAAAAAAATTCTTTTCAGGGAATCAAACTCACGTCCTCTGCAAGTGACCACAAAGAGCCTAAGCCCTTCCATTAGATGACACATGAGAGATAATTTCAGCAAAAAACTATACCGTAATTACACGTTATGAACTCCCCCATCTAGATAATTTATAATTAAAGAGGCTATCTGTCAGGGCTAACCAGCACTGAGTAGCACTAAGCACCCCAACAGGTTGCCCCGTTAGCTTAGTCGATACATGTATCATAGAATCATGCTGGATTACGAAACGGATGGCCCTGGCTCAATACCCCACTAGGGTGTACATTGTACATGTACTTGAACTTGGGTTTTTTGTGTGGGTTGGGGGGGGGGGT